CAGCGTAGCCCCAGCATTCAGACACCAATACCAGCTCCCCGCACTCACTTGCCACCCTCAGTCATTAGTCATAGAAGCTCCAGAGCGCATAGTGGTGAAGTTTCTACTCCTCAACCAGCCCATTATGAGCAGCTGACAGAGCAAATGGGAGATATGACTTTAACTTCTAGGATGTCACATGTAGTTGATGGTCATGGTGTATATTCTCAGAGGACACACACATATTCAGCCCAGCCTTCAGGAACAGGACATTATGAAAATGTGCCCCTTGGTCCAAGATACCATTATCTTCAGACAGAAGGAGAATTCAGTCCAGCCTCACTACCAGAGTTAGTGCCTAGGATGGAGAAGCTGCATACCCAAGAGCAGATTTATCGAGGCCCTAAGCCTACAATTCCCAGCTTGACAGCAGCTGACCCAAGACAGTTTTCCAGACTACGTATGGCACTGGAGAATATTCTGCCAGCAGATGCGAGTGAACGTTTTAAGTATCAGATTCTGACAGATCATTTGGAGCTTGAAGAGGCTCTCCTGGTGGCAGACTCCTACTGTAATTCTGTGAGACCCTACACAGACACGATGCACGCTCTGGTTAAGATGTATGGTCAGCCCCACAAGCTCGTTCTGCAGAGTATCACAGAAGTGCTGGACAGTCCCAACCTTAAGTCAGGAGATGTTAAATCTTTCAAGCTCTTTGCTCTTCGAGTGCGATCATTAGTGAGTATGTTGGAACAATTGGGGCCAGAGGGAGTCGCCGAATTGGACTGTGGCTCACATGTGTCTCGTCTCCAGAGCAAGCTTCCCCATGAGCTGCAAATCAGTTTTAAGAGATATATCCATCCCTTAAGGATCACAGTCCCTACACTTCTACACTTTGCTGACTGGTTAGAATACGAGCTCCAAGTACAAGATGACACTGCCAAAGCAGTCATGTATGCCCCACCCTTACCTTTCAAGCGGAGAGAAGGTCGTCATGAACACAAGCCTTCAGGGAGATCAACAAATATTCTACTAGGTGCTGGAAAGCCCACTGCCCCCACTGAATGCCGAATACCTACGTTAGATTCCAAGCCCAGTTCTACTAAGTATAGAGAGAAGTCACACGCCTACTGTCCTTACTGTGACAACTCCAGCCACTTCCTCAATGGGTGTCTTAACTTCAAAGAGCTAACAAAGGAACAGAAAGAGGCATGGATTCGTAAGAATAATAGGTGCTGGCGGTGTGGACGTAATCATCATGCATCCAGATGCACATTAAAGGCTCTGTGTAAGACGTGCAACAGAAAACACCTGCTTGTATTGCATGATCTAAATGAGAGAGTTGTCAGTACTAGTGAAGAGACTGAACCTAAGGAGAACTCGTGTCTTGTGAATACCACAAAGGGCACCCTATATGCAGATCGTTCAGTTGGCAGCCGCAGAGTGCTCTTGAAAGTGAGTAAAGTAATCATTGCAAATGGAGATGCATCAATGGAGACTTTTGCTGTGTTAGATGATGGGTCAGAAAGGACCATTCTACTTCATGCTGCAGCTCAGCAGCTGAAACTCCAGGGCCAGCCAGAAGACCTCATACTGCGCACTGTAAGACAGGATCAGCAGGTGCTTCATGGGACAACAGTTTCCTTCACAGTCTCACCGGTGTCTTACCCCCACAAGAAGTACCACATTCAGCATGCATTTACAGCCGAAAGACTGAGCCTTGCTGAACACACTTATCCAGTGGCTTTCTTACAGAAGAAATATAGACATCTAGCTGGTCTCCCATTGCAACAGATGGATAAAGTGCAGCCTGTATTGTTGATTGGGTCAGATTACCCACATCTCCTCACGCCTGTTGAACCAGTACGTCTAGGCCCACCAGGGGGCCCAGCAGCAGTTAAAACCCGCTTGGGATGGACTCTTCAAGGTCCTACACAAGAGGTCCGTCGTGAGCTTAGCACACACCAGTGCTTCTTTACCTCTGTACTACCTAACACAGACCTGTTTGCTCATGTTGAGCGATTGTGGCAGATGGATGTGATACCCTATCGCAACAACAAGATAGTGACACGATCCAAGCTAGACAAGGAAGCAATCAGTCTGTTGCAAGAGAACACTGTGAGAGTAGAAGTACAGGGGACAATGCGGTATGCCACACCGCTCCTCCGAATGCAGAGTATGCCTCGTTTGAACATGCCCAAGGAAGCCGTTCTCCCTCAGCTTAGGAGTGTTGAGAGGAGGCTGCTAAAAAACCCAGAGCAAGCATCTGCCTACCAGGCTGAGATTACTAGATTGAAGGAAGCAGGCTATGTGGCTAAGCTAGAACCAAGAGAAGCGGATTGCTCTAAAGAGTCTTGGTACATCCCCCACCATATGGTGCAGCACAATAATAAGAATAGAGTCGTCTACAACTGCTCCTTTCAATTTGAAGGCCACAGCCTTAATGACTTTCTCCTGCCAGGCCCCACATTAAGCCCATCACTGTTGGCAGTGCTGCTTCGATTCCGAGAGCACCCTGTTGCTATAAGTAGCGACATTCGCGGTATGTTTCACCAAGTCAGGCTGCTCCCTGGTGACATGCCCTTGCTTCGATTTTTGTGGCGAGATTTAAAGCCTGATCTACCCCCTGATGTGTACCAGTGGCAGGTACTTCCCTTTGGCACCACGTGCAGTCCCTGCTGTGCCTCATATGCCCTGCAGACTCACGTTATAAATCACAGTCAGCCGGGAGATCGATTTAGAGAGGTAATTGAGAAATCATTCTATGTCGACAATTGCCTCCACAGTCTTCATTCTCCTAAAGAGGCTAAAGACCTTGTTGACGGACTTTGTGCTCTCCTAGCCAGTGGAGGATTTGAGCTTCGACAATGGGCTAGCAATTGTCCATCTGTGATTACTCACCTTCCTCCAGAATCCAGATCTAGTACCTGCGAACTGTGGCTCAGCCAAGACCAACAAGATGTCCATGAGTCCACGCTTGGACTGCAGTGGCATTGCCAAACTGATACACTGCGCTACAAACACAGAGCTAGGAGCTCTGCGCCAGTGACTATGCGCCACATATACAGAGTACTGGCAAGTCAATACGATCCTCTCGGATATATCATCCCATACACTACCCGGGCTAAAATATTAGTACAGCGTTTATGGGACAAGAAACGAGACTGGGACGACCCACACCTGCCAGATTATCTACTCGCCTTATGGCATGAATGGGAGAAAGAACTGAGTGGACTAGAGGAGATATCCTTAGCCAGGTGCTACTCTCTGTCAGAAGTAGATCACGCATCTTGTAAATATGAGATCCACATCTTCTGTGATGCTTCAGAGCAGGCGTATGGGTCAGTGGCCTATCTGCGAATAGAGCACAAGGAGGGTGAAGTAGAAGTTGCCTTTTTTGCTGCCAGGTCCCGTGTTGCCCCCCGAAAGCAACAATCTATACCAAGACTAGAGTTGTGTGCTGCTTTAAGTGGAGCACAGCTATCCCAACTCCTGAACGCTGAGCTTACAGTCCCTATCCACTCCACTACGCTCTGGTCTGACTCTACCACTGTGCTTATGTGGTTGACATCTAGCTCCTGCCGTTACAAGGTATTTGTGGGGACAAGAGTAGCTGAGATCCAAGAGATGACAGCATCCGCTGTCTGGCGCTATGTTCGATCATCAGACAACCCGGCCGATGACATCACTAGAGGCAAATCTCTCCAAAACCTCTCTAAAGACAGCAGGTGGAGTCAAGGACCATCTTTCCTTAAGCTCCCTTCTGAGAGCTGGCCAGAACAGCCGCATTTAGCAGCAGAAGGGCCGAACTCTGAACTAAGACAGTCATCCTTCTCTGTTTTAGTAACCACTACTGCTCCCTCAGCTAAACTGCAGCACTTCAACACCCTGACAGAGTGCCTGAATGCTTATGGACAGGAGCTTCATGGGGCGGCCTACACCTCCAGTGCTGAACTGCAAAAGGATGTTCAACGTGCAGTTCTCCGTCAAGCACAAGCCGAGTCCTTTCCAGAAGAGCTGAGACTATTGATGTCTGGAAAATCAGTATCATCGAAGAGCAGACTACTCACTCTTTCCCCAGAACTTGATGCTGCTACTGGACTTATTAGAGTAGGAGGCCGGCTACGGCATTGTGAGGTCTTGGAAGCAGATACTATACACCCAGTTGTCCTTGATCCTCGGCACCCAGTCACACTGTTAATCATTAGAGATCATGATGAGAGACTGCATCATCCAGGTACGGAGCGGTTGTTTGCAGAAATCAGAAGGACATACTGGATACTGAGAGGTCGTGAAGCCATCCGACGATACCAACACCAATGTACAGAGTGTAAGAAGTGGAGAGGACGCCCAGAGGTCCCATTGATGGCAGACTTACCCCTTACAAGACAAAGATACTTCCGTCCTGTCTTTTACTCGACTGGGATGGACTGTTTTGGCCCCTTCGTTATTAAGATTGGTCGACGTAATGAGAAGAGGTGGGGTATAGTCTTTAAGTGTATGACCACAAGGGCAGTCCATCTTGATCTTCTCTCTAGTATTGACTCTGACTCATTCTTGATGGCTCTAAGAAGGTTCATAGCCAGAAGAGGCAACCCCCATGAGTTACTGTGTGACCAAGGCACTAATTTTAAGGGAGGAGAACGTGAACTGAATGAGGCCTTTGCTGCTCTCCAAAGTGAGCTACAGAACCATCTCGTTGTTCAGCAAATTAAATTCACCTACAACCCACCAAGTGCCCCTCACTTTGGTGGATGCTGGGAGAGGGAGATCCGTTCGATCAAGGCAGCCCTTAAAGTGACAATTGGAGCCCAGACAGTTACTGAGGAAGTGTTAAGGACCGTCCTGATTGAGGTAGAAGGTATCCTCAACTCTAAGCCTTTAGGATATACCTCCTCTGATGTCGCTGATCTCGACCCAATTACCCCGTTCTGCTTCTTAATTGGTCGCAGAGATGTGTCACTTCCCCAAGTCATCTATGAGGACTCAGAAATCTCAAGTCGACGGCGGTGGCATCACAGCCAACTACTTGCAGAGCACTTCTGGAGGCACTTTCTGAAATACTACCTACCTGACCTTCAGGCACGGCAGAAGTGGAAAACCGAGAAGAGGACATTAGAAATTGGGGATGTAGTCATGATAGTTGATCCTCAACTCCCTCGTGCACTTTGGCCAGTGGGCAGAATCACACAAGTGTTCCCTGGTGCAGATGGTCGAGTGCGGACTGCTAATGTGGAGGTTAAGGGCAAGACTTATACCCGTATTGTGGCTCGACTTATACAGCTTCCAGCTCTACCTGAGGACGAATAATGCATGTTATGGATCTTTTGTCAGATGAGCGAATTCAGTTCTGAATTCGGGGGCGGCTGTGCAAAAGGACCACTGATGTCTACGTCCCGGATGACACCAACCAATCAGTGCACAATGCAACGCAGTATCATCGAGGTGGGCTGAGCTAAGAACTAGTTGAGAGCGACAGTGCACACGGGAGATAACGCTGGCGATAACACCTGCTATCAAACTCACTCAGCAAAAAGAGACAAAACAGTCACTACTGGTATACTGTGCTACAGTGTGCGTGTCTTAAAAGTAAGTGATCACTATTTATAAAGTTATTATTGACAGAAGATCAGCTGTTGTTCACGTACCACCTGTAGCAGCTTGTTAGCCCAGTACTGCTTATATTACCAGCTTAAACTCGGGAATTACCAAGTGTTTAAGTACAAGTTGTAGTTATATGTTCATATGTACACATTTTAGTATGTTACTGATGTATGTTTATAGTATATCACGTATGTGCGCGTTATGCGACGATAATTGGCTACCTGCGGTGATCATTCAAGTTGGACATGCCCAGACAAAGACCCTGCCATCATGCGGAATTCATGTGCTCTTGGTGCCCTCTTTTGGACACTCGGAGAATTGCGCCTTTATTATCTACTTTGCCATTATTTTCTTTCTATACTTGTTGTATGCTGTTCAGTTAGTAATATTTATTGTGAAACATCTGTATTGATTATTGTTTATTTGTTTCAGAAACCACACATATGTTCCATTGTATACCAAGTGCTTCAGTAAATGAAAATCACATCTAATACCCTGAGTGCCTCTCTTCAATTAAGTAACCATCTCACTCAGTTCTGACCGACTGCCTATTGTGTTTCACACCCAAATTTAATACATCCACGAACCCCTCCATTTCATTGGGGCTCGAACCCTCGACCCTGAGATTAAGAGTCTCATGCTCTTCCGCCTGAGCTAGCCGGGCTGATGTAAAGGTTTTTCAAGAGCTAGACACCGTTTTCAGTAATACCTTCCCTACCCGTGACAATGTTCTGCTAAATCCTGATTTCATCTTGTAACACTGGACAGAATGTGGCCCAGGATATATGCCCAGTGCACGTATTAGCAGTTGCAAGGCAGCAAAATGCCTAATTCGTCCCTGGAGGGGCTTGAACTTCCAACCTTTCAGTTAACAGCCAAACGCGCTAACCGATTGCGCCACAGAGACTTAGTAAGAGATCACTTACAGTGGTAGAAAGGCAGAACTTTGTTTCAAAAGGTCTGCTATATAAACCCTAATAAAAGTTTGCTGAGAGAGAGAGAGGCAACAGAAACACGCAACGTGGGGCTCGAACCCACGACTCTGAGATTAAGGGTCTCATGCTCTACTGACTGAACTAGCTGAGCTGATGAGGAGCTCTTTCAAGAGCTAGACACCGTTTACAGTAATACCTTCCCCACCCGTGACAATCTTCTGCTAAATCCTGATTTCATCTTGTAACGCTGGACAGAATGTGGCCCTGGATATATGCCCAATGCACGTGTTAGCAGTTGCAAGACAGCAAAATGCCTAGTTCTTCCCTGGGTGGGCTTGAACCACCAACCTTTCAGTTAACAGCCGAACGCGCTAACCGATTGCGCCACAGAGACTTAGGGAAAGGTCACCTACAGTGGTAGAAAGCCGGAACTTTGTTTCAAAAGGTCTGCCATATGAACCCTAATGTAAGTTTGCTGAGAGAGAGAGAGAGAGAAAAGTAACAGAAACGCCCAACGTGGGGCTCAAACCCACTACCCTGACATTAAGAGTCTCATGCTCTACCGACTGAGCTAGCCAGGCTCATGCATAGCTCTTTCAAGACCTAGACACTGTTTTCAGTCATACCTTCCCTACCCGTGACAACCTTCTGCTAAATCCTGATTTCATCTTGTAACGCTGGACAGAATGTGGCCCAGGATATATGCCCAGTGCACGTGTTAGCAGTTGCAAGGCAGCAAAATGCCTTATTCGATTCTGGGTGGGCTTGAACCACAAACCTTTCAGTTAACAGCAGAACGCGCTAACCTATTGCGCCACAGAGACTTAGGGAAAGGTCACCTACAGTGGTAGAAAGCCGGAACTTTGTTTCAAAAGGTCTGTGATATGAACCCTAATGTAAGTTTGCTGAGAGAGAGAGATAAGTAACAGAAACGCCCAACGTGGGGCTCGAACCCTCGACCCTGAGATTAAGAGTCTCATGCTCTTCCGCCTGAGCTAGCCGGGCTGATGTAAAGGTGTTTCAAGAGCTAGACACCGTTTTCAGTAATACCTTCCCTACCCGTGAAAATCTTCTGCTAAATCCTGATTTCATCTTGTAACACTGGACAGAATGTGGCCCAGGATATATGCCCAGTGCACATGTTAGCAGTTGCAAGGCAGCAAAATGCCTAATTCGTCCCTGGAGGGGCTTGAACTTCCAACCTTTCAGTTAACAGCCAAACGCGCTAACCGATTGCGCCACAGAAACTTAGTAGGAGGTCACTTACAGTGGTAGAAAGGCAGAACTTTGTTTCAAAAGGTCTGCTATATAAACCCTAATGAAAGTTTGCTGAGAGAGAGAGAGGCAACAGAAACACGCAACGTGGGGCTTGAACCCACGACCCTGAGATTAAGGGTCTCATGCTCTACTTACTGAACTAGCTGAGCTGATGAGGAGCTCTTTCAAGAGCTAGACACCGTTTACAGTAATACCTTCCCTACCCGTGACAATCTTCTGCTAAATCCTGATTTCATCTTGTAACACTGGACAGAATTTGGCCCAGGATATATGCCCAGTGCACGTGTTAGCAGTTGCAAGGCAGCAAAATGCCTAATTCGTCCCTGGGTGGGCTTGAACCACCAACCTTTCAGTTAACAGCCGAACGCGCTAACCGATTGCACCACAGAGACTTAGTAAGACATCACTTACAGTGGTAGAAAGGCGTAACTTTGTTTCAAAAGGTCTGCTATATAAAACCTAATGAAAGTTTGCTGAGAGAGAGAGGCAACAGAAACACGCAACGTGGGGCTCAAACCCACAACCCTGTGATTAAGGGTCTCGTGCTCTACCGACTGAACTAGACGAGCTGATGAGGAGTCCTTTCAAGAGCTAGACACCGTTTACAGTAATACCTTCCCTACCCGTGACAATCTTCTGCTAAATCCTGATTTCATCTTGTAATGCTGGACAGAATGTGGCCCAGGATCTATGCCCAGTGCACGTGTTAGCAGTTGCAAGGCAGCAAAATGCCTAACTCAATTCTGGGAGGGCTTGAACCACCAACCTTTCAGTTAACAGCCGATTGCGCCACAGAGACTTAGTAAGAGGTCACTTACAGTGGTAGAAAGGCAGAACTTTGTTTCAAAAGGTCTGCTATATAAACCCTAATGAAAGTTTGCTGAGAGAGAGAGAGAGAGGCAACAGAAATGCACAACGTGGGGCTCGAACCCACGACCCTGAGATTAAGGGTCTCATGCTCTACTGACTGAACTAGCTGAGCTGATGAGGAGCTCTTTCAAGAGCTAGACACCGTTTACAGTAATACCTTCCCTACCCGTGACAATCTTCTGCTAAACCCTGATTTCATCTTGTAACACTGGACAGAATTTGGCCCAGGATATATGCCCAGTGCACGTGTTAGCAGTTGCAAGGCAGCAAAATGCCTAATTCGTCCCTGGGTGGGCTTGAACTACCAACCTTTCAGTTAACAGCCGAACACGCTAACCGATTGCGCAACAGAGACTTAGTAAGAGGTCACTTACAGTGGTAGAAAGCCGGAACTTTGTTTCAAAAGGTCTGCCATATGAACCCTAATGTAAGTTTGCTGAGAGAGAGAGATAAGTAACAGAAACGCCCAACTTGGGGCTCGAACCCTCGACCCTGAGATTAAGAGTCTCATGCTCTTCCGCCTGAGCTAGCCGGGCTGATGTAAAGGTTTTTCAAGAGCTAGACACAGTTTTCAGTAATACCTTCCCTACCCGTGACAATGTTCTGCTAAATCCTGATTTCATCTTGTAACACTGGACAGAATGTGGCCCAGGATATATGCCCAGTGCACGTATTAGCAGTTGCAAGGCAGCAAAATGCCTAATTCGTCCCTGGAGGGGCTTGAACTTCCAACCTTTCAGTTAACAGCCGAACGCACTAACCGATTGCGCCACAGAGACTTAGTAAGAGGTCACTTACAGTGGTAGAAAGGCAGAACTTTGTTTCAAAAGGTCTGCTATATAAACCCTAATGAAAGTTTGCTGAGAGAGAGAGAGAGGCAACAGAAACACGCAACGTGGGGCTCGAACCCACGACCCTGAGATTAAGGGTCTCATGCTCTACTGACTGAACTAGCTGAGCTGATGAGGAGCTCTTTCAAGAGCTAGACACCGTTTACAGTAATACCTTCCCTACCCATGACAATCTTCTGCTAAATCCTGATTTCATCTTGTAACACTGGACAGAATTTGGCCCAGGATATATGCCCAGTGCACGTATTAGCAGTTGCAAGGCAGCAAAATGACAAGTTCGTCCCTGGGTGGGCTTGAACCACCAACCTTTCAGTTAACAGCCGAACGCGCTAACCGATTGCGCCACAGAGACTTAGTAAGAGATCACTTACAGTGGTAGAAAAGCGGAACTTTGTTTCAAAAGGTCTGCTATATAAACCCTAATGAAAGTTTGCTGAGAGAGAGGCAACAGAAGCACGCAACGTGGGGATCGAACCCACAACCCTGAGATTAAGGGTCTCATGCTCTACCGACTGAACTAGACGAGCTGATGAGGAGTCCTTTCAAGAGCTAGACACCGTTTACAGGAATACCTTCCCTACCCGTGAAAATCTTCTGCTAAATCCTGATTTCATCTTGTAACGCTGGACAGAATGTGGCCCAGGATCTATGCCCAGTGCACGTGTTAGCAGTTGCAAGGCAGCAAAATGCCTAACTCAATTCTGGGAGGGCTTGAACCACCAACCTTTCAGTTAACAGCAGAACGCGCTAACCTATTGCGCCACAGAGACTTAGGGAAAGGTCACCTACAGTGGTAGAAAGCCGGAACTTTGTTTCAAAAGGTCTGCAATATGAACCCTAATGCAAGTTTGCTGAGAGAGAAAGAAGTAACAGAAACGCCCAACGTGGAGCTCGAACCCTCGACCCTGAGATTAAGAGTCTCATGCTCTTCCGCCTGAGCTAGCCGGGCTGATGTAAAGTTCTTTCAAGAGCTAGACACCGTTTTCAGTAATACCTTCCCTACCCGTGACAATCTTCTGCTAAATCCTGATTTCATCTTGTAACACTGGACAGAATGTGGCCCAGGATATATGCCCAGTGCACGTGTTAGCAGTTGCAAGGCAGCAAAATGCCTAGTTCGTCTCTGGGTGGGCTTGAACCACCAACCTTTCAGATAACAGCCGAACGCGCTAACCTATTGCGCCACAGAGACTGAGTAAGAAGTCACCTACAGTGGTAGAAAGGCGGAACTTTGTTTCAAAAGGTCTGCTATATGAACCCTAATAAAAGTTAGCTGAGAGAGAGAGAGGCAACAGAAACACACAACGTGGGGCTCGAAGCCACAACCCTGTGATTAAGGGTCTCGTGCTCTACCGACTGAACTAGACGAGCTGATGAAGAGTCCTTTCAAGAGCTAGACACTGTTTACAGTAATACCTTCCCTACCCGTGACAATCTTCTGCTAAATCCTGATTTCATCTTGTAACGCTGGACAGAATGTGGCCCAGGATCTATGCCCAGTGCACGTGTTAGCAGTTGCAAGGCAGCAAAATGCCTAATTCAATTCTGGGAGGGCTT